GGTGCCACCCAGGGACGTCTACCACCCTACAAAACAGTACTTTTTCTGGCCTAGTACAGATGTGACCACAGTCTGACTCCTGTGGGAAAGACGGATTTTATCACAGATGGCTCCCGCCATATGCCTGCTGAGAACAGGCCATGTGGGGCCTGGGACATTCCGAAGGTCACTTGAAGGAAAAGCTAAACGCGTTGACTTAGGGGAAAGATTTCAGTGTTAGGATTTTCTTCAAAGGATGGCGTTTCTGAACTTGCTTCTGACCCCTTCCCCTCCCGTCCCTCCCTTAAGCCATTAAGGTGGACTTTTCAATGCTGGAATTAGCGATTAAATTTGCGGATGAAAAATTGATACCTTGCACACCTTCCCACCTTTATCAGAAAGCGTTAAAACGGAGCTTTGTGAACGTCTTTACCTCTGAAATCACAATGGACCATTCAACACCTGTTGTGACTTAGTGATCTCTAGAATAAAAAAAAGGATGCCCCCCAAGGTGAGTGTTCTTTACTGGTAAGTGAGTAGGGAGTAAGACGAGTAGGGAGCAAGACTAGGGAGCAGCCAGTCCTGCTGTTGCAAGATTTCTGTCAAAGCCTCAAATAAAAGTAGGTGTTTATCATTGCAGAAATTCCTCCCCACAGGAAAAGATAACCTCATTTCCAGATAATGCTGTCAAAGTATTCCGGCAGCTTTCTGCGTAAAACCCAACAGCAGGAAGCCTGTATAAACCTGGCATTGCTGTGGTTGGCGTGGTGAGATTCGTTTTGCTCAGAGAAGTCTCTCTTACTGTCAGTGATAGTTGAATGAACGGCTTTGGAATCCTCGCATGAATGTAAGTGAACCGGGAGAGGTGGTCAGTGTGTAGAAAATATTGATGGACAGTGCTGCTTGGAGAAGGTTTTGGCATTACTTCTAAGAAGATAGAAATGTTTTTTCTAAAAAATAAACCCAGAGAATAGATTGTTAGTGATTGTCTCATTTTCTCCTACCCTGGGAAGTAGGAGTGAACACCTAACTTGACATTCATGTTCTCCAAATCATCAGCTCTGGGCCCCTCAGCAGCAGTCGGCTGCATTTTTGTTCCAGTATCTTCCACGGGAGCCCTGGTGGCACAGTGGTTAAGTGCTCGGCTGCTAACTGAAAGGTCGGTGGTTCTGATTCACCCAGCGGCTCCATGGGAGGAAGACCTGGTGATCTGCTCCCGTAAAGATGACAGCCTAGGAAACCTTATGCAGCAGCACCCAACAACAGTTTTCCAAAGGAATTGAGCTTTCCCTCTCCTTAGCAAGCAATACTTAAGAAGAAACAAAGGTAAAACGAATGGGAAGTTAATTTCCAGCCAGAGTCCCTCTGCGCCCCATGATACACGGTGTGCTTTCCTTCAGGGCTTGTGTTCTGGAGCAGGAAAGATTCCTGAAGAAAATGGGCCACCATGTACCTGTTTAAAAATCATGAAGTTCATCTGTGCAGCCGCGGTTGTCTAACCAAAGAATTCTCTTTTCATATTATGCTTAAACCCATTGCAGTATCTAAATTTATGGTATTTAATAACCTACCCCCTTTGCCTTGAATCCAAGGAGCCCTGGTGGCACAGTGGTTAAACACTCGCCTGCTAACTGAAAGGTTGGCGGTTTGAAACCACCAGTTGCTCCTCGGAAGAAAGGTGTAGCAATCTGCTTCTGTAAAGATGACGGCCTTGGAAATCCTCTGGGGCAGTTCTACTCTGTCCTTTAGGGTTGCTATGAGTTGGAATCAATTCGACAGCAACAGGTTTGTTTTTTTTGTTTTTTTGACTTGAAGATGGTGCTGAAGTCTTTCCAGCGTGGCTTTCTCTGGCACACATGCGTGCACGCGCGCGCGCGCGCGCACACACACACTTTCCGGCTGTGCAGGTACAGGTGGGTGGTCTCCTCAGACGGCTCAGCGATCTGCTCCCAGTGTGTGTCTGGGGCACAGTCCCCTCCCAGGAATCCCCGCGTGGGCACGCTTGCAGCTTTTGGTCCTGATAAAATCAACAGCACCCTCTGGAGAAAGGGCCTCGGTCTCTTTACTCTGAAACTTGCGGGGGAATGCTGTTTAACAGTATGCCTTTGTCTTGCGCCTGGCTTTCATTGTTTTGGTGAGAGAATCAGCTTATTATTCCCTGCCAACTCCCCCCACCCCAAATAAAAAGAGGATGAGAGCAGGTAAGCATGTTCTCTTTCTAAATCTATCCATCAGTCCCCTTTCTCAAGCAAATTAAAAAACAGTGCAAGCACTAAGGAGTTTTCACACCCCACTTGAGCTCAGCTGCTAACAGAAAGGTTGGACGTTCGAGTCTTCCCAGCGAAGCCTGGCCATCTACTTCTGAAAAACCAGCCATTGAAAACCCTGTGGAGCATGGTCCTACTCTGACACAACGTGAATCTGAGTCGACTCAGTGGCAACTGATCTGTTTTTTTTTAAAACACCCACCTTTCCCTGCAAATTAAGTTGAGAAGCATTTTTTTGCAAACCCCTCCCCCCGCCAAAAGCACAGCCTTTTCTGCCAAGGCTTGTGTTGAAATGTTGCATCTTCCCTTTGAACTTTTTATTATCCACACGATTTGTTCGCTAATGCTGTGGTGTGATGATTCGCAGTTTGACTTGAGTAAATCAAGTTAAAGAAGCAAAAACCCTACAAAAGGCAGTCCTGGGAGAAATGACACCTTGGGCCCCAGGTCACTGGTGGAGAGTGCTGGACCTCACCCTAGCCCAGGTGTCCCAGGTCCTTGTCTACCTTTCTTCCTCTTCCTCCAAAATCCCACACAGAACTCCTGCCGGGACCCTGGGTATTGCTGCCTTCCTTGGAGGAGGCGCCTCAGAATCTGCTCCTGGCCCGTTCCCGTTTGGAAACCTGCCATTATGTTGCTGAAAACAAATCAGGAAGCCATTGATCTTCGTGTCTGTGCAGCTCGTTTGCATCACATATTCCTTTATTCTCTTATTGAACTCTCTTGTCAGTGATTTTTCCACTCAGCTCCTGTTCCACAAATAATGCTTTTCCTCATTTCCGGCTCGTTTCCTCCCCGCTTCCTCCCCACCTTGCTATGCGGTGATATCATTTCCGACCCACCTGTAATGCCAGAGGGGAGATCAGGAGTCAGTATGCCCCACTCAGGCCCAGCCTGCGCCTAAGTGGCTCCGTGAACTTTTTGGACGCTTTGTTCTTTGAGCTATTTTCTCCTCATCTGTATAATGAGGGGATTGGGTCTGATGGTTTTTACTCCCCATTCTAGCTAAAATTGTATGGCTCTTGAGATTTTTCCCTTCTCTTGGCCTGTCAGATAAGATACATAAAGGACTGCCCGAGGTTCCTCCAGACTCCAATGTAGGCAAAATCTGAGTGATTGGAGGCTGAAACATTATGGGTGGGCAGTGAAGTGTTTTAGGCAGTTAGTATGGACTTTTCAGAACCTGTAATCTCCATCTGGCAGCTCTGGTGGAACAACGGTTAAGTGCTTGGCTGCTAACCAAAAGGGCAGTGGTTTGAACCCCCCAGAAGCTAGGTGGGAGAAAGAGCTGATGATCTGCTCCTGTAAAGATACAGCCTTGCAAACCTTATGGGGCAGCGCTACTCTGTCCCATGGGGTCACTATGAGTCAGAATTGACTCGGTGGCACCCAGCAAGAACATTCTCCATTCAGACTATTTTGTTTTACTAGTGACTTAATTGCAGCTAAGTTAGGTCAGTAAATGTCAATTGATGAAGATGAAAAAAGAAAAACTGGTATTTTTACGCCTCAGTAGCTGAAAGGACAGCTGTTCAGAACAGTTTCAGATTTACAGAACAATTGCAGAGACAGCGTAGAGAGTTTTCATATACCCCACACCAGTTCACCGTTCACATTTCACACTAGTGGGGCACCAAACAGAAAAACAAGCCCGTTGCCATTGAGTTGATTGCGACTTATGGCAACCCTGTAGGAGAGAGCAGAACTGCCCCATAGGGTTTCCAAGGCTGTAAATCTTTACAGAAGCAGACTGCCACATCTGTCTTCCGTGGAGTGGCTGGGAGTTCGAACCTCCGACCTTTCAGTTATCAGGGGAGTGCTTCACCAGTGCGCCACCAGGTCTCCTCCATTCACATTATGGAGGGTAATTTCCTTAAAGTCAACTGATTGTAAATGTTAACCACATCAACAAAATACCTTCACAGCAACATCTAGACTAGTGTTGGACCAAACCACTGGACCGCACAGCCTAGTGACACATGAAGTTAACCATCTCACCGTCTGAGTCTCTATGAAGCTAAACGTGATCTCATGCTGATGTCCCTGACTCTAATCTATCGCCACATGGGCCATTCCAGCCTCCTCCCCTCGCTTGTCTGTAACCTCCCACTCCAACAGAAACCTGGCTCCCACCATCTGTCATCTATTTGTTTAATTTTTCAATTCTGGGAGCCCTGGTGGCACAACGGTTAAGTGCTGGGCTGCTAACTGAAAGGTTGGCTGTTTTAACCCACCCAGCAACTCTGCAGGAGAAAGACCTGGTAATCTGCTCCCGTAAAGATTCCAAAAACTAAACCAAACCCATTGCCGTCGATTTGATCCCGACTCATAGCGACCCTATAGGACCGAGTAGAACTGCCCCATAGGGTTTTTAAGGCTGTAATCTGGAAGCAGACTGCCTCATCTTTCTTCTGAGGATCAGCTGTTGGGTTGGAACCACTGTACTTCTGAGAACTCAGCCACTGAAAACCCTGTGGAGCACAGATCTACTCTGCGGGGTCCGCATGAATCGGAGTTGACTCACCAACAACTGGTTCGGTTTTTGGTTTGGGTGTTTCTGCAGGACTGGAGAAGTCACTGTATGTGGGAGTCTTTCTGACACCCGATCATGGACATCGGAGATGCGCAGCATCGCAGCCATGAGTGTCTCTGAAGCGCTTCACTCCTGCCTGTGGGGCAACAATGTGATAAGACAAGGCGAGTGGGTGAGACAGATGACAGTAATGACCTGCTTTTCTTCTTTCTTGCCGACAGATTTGAGCCGCAACATGGGGTCCAAAAGGTTATGCAGCCTTGGCCAGCAGATGCTGCGCCGGAAGGTGGTGGACTGTAGCCGGGAGGAGAGCCGGCTGTCCCGCTGCCTCAACACCTTTGACCTGGTGGCTCTCGGTGTGGGGAGCACGCTGGGCGCCGGCGTCTACGTCCTGGCCGGGGCTGTGGCCCGCGAGGACGCCGGCCCCGCCATTGTCATCTCCTTCCTCATCGCTGCGCTGGCCTCCGTGCTGGCCGGCCTGTGCTACGGCGAGTTTGGCGCTCGGGTGCCCAAGACGGGCTCGGCCTACCTCTACAGCTACGTCACCGTGGGCGAGCTCTGGGCCTTCATCACGGGCTGGAACTTAATCCTGTCCTACATCATCGGTGAGTCCCAGCAGGCCTGGAGCGGGCGCCTTGCCACCGGCCTTCTCTCTGCTCCACGTCACACTGTGGGCAGGGGTCCCACTGCTTCCTCAGCTAGACCTCAGGTCGGTCTCTCCAGGACCTCCCGTCTAGCCTGACCGCTGTAAATTGTTTTCTCTTCCTTTTTATGGGCGTTGCTGCGGTGATTAAGCTCCCTCCGGTCTGTGCATGTTTCTGGGTGGCAGAAACAGTGAAGCACTTGGCTGCTAACCCAAAGGCTGGCAGTTTGAATCCACCCAGAGGCACTTCAGAAGAAAGGCCTAGCAGTCTACTTCCAAACAATTGGCTATTGAAAACACTGTGGAGCACGATTTTACTCTCGTGGGGTCGCCATGAGTCAGGGTTGACTTGATGGCCGCCCGTTCGGCTTGGTTTTTTTTCTTTTTGTCTGTGCCCTTGTTTTTAATGGTAAAGTGGGAGCTAAGCCAGGCCAACAAGGCTGTCACTCTTGCTAACGTGGGAGACATTGAACTGGGAGAGTGTTTCCAATTGGTTAAAAAATGCATAAATTTCTTTTAGTATTGTTTTCAGATTATTAGAGTAAGTACACCACTGATCCTGAAAAATTTGGGAAATCTAGAAAAGCACAAAGAGAAAGTAGAAATTGCCCAGTCTGACAAGGAATAATTTTCTCATTCATTCATTTCTTTCAACAAATATTTGTTGAGCTAGGCTTTATACTAGGTATGAGGGATGCAACAAGGAACGAGACCATCTCTGTCTTCATAATAGCCGTTGTTAATACCTGTGAATGTTAATGCCTACTTGTTTTTTACAGTATATCTCTATTTACAAAGCAATATGTAATAAAGTTATCTTATATCATTTTTTTCATAGTCATATTCCACCTGGTGGCATACTATTATATCAGTTTATGTACATACTGTGACTTATTGGATGTCTTAGTTATCTAGTGCTGTTATAACAAATACCACAAGTGGGTGGCTTTAACAAACAGAAGTTTATTTTTTGACAGTTTAGGAGCTAGAAGTCCCTCTTCAGGGCACCGGCTCTAGGGGAAGGCTTTCACTCTCTGCCATCTCTAGGGGAAGGTCCTTGTTTCTTCAGCTTCTGTTCCCTGGCTCCTTGGAGGTCTTCATGTGGCTTGGCATTTGTCTTCCACATCTCTGCTTCCTTAATCTGCTCCTTTTATGTCTTGTAAAGGATTGACTCAAGACACACAGCCTACATGAATCCTGCCTCATTAACACATAACAGAAACAACCCATTCCCAAATGGGATTATAACTACAAGCATGGAGGTTTACAACACATATCTGGGGGAGGCACAGTTCAATCCATAACATTAGTAAGTGTCCTTGTGGGGTATTTAGATGGTCTCCAGTTGTGTTGTTGTTGTTATAAAGGGTTATTATAGGTAAGCCTTTGGGCATAGCTATGATTTTTTCTTTAAAACTGAGTCTAAGAGGCAGAATATCTAGATCGAAGGGTATTCGTCTTAGAAAGCATCTGTTAACTGTGATGCATATACTGCTGGGGCCGTATATGAGAGCAGTCAACTCCGAGCATCCTTACCAACGCTGGGCCTTAGCAGGAAAAACAACAAACAAAACACACACACTGTATATATATATATATACAAATATACATCATATACATATATGTGTGTGTATATATATATAAAATATATAAAGCAAACCTGTTGCCATAAAGTCGATTCCAACTCATAGCGACCCTATAGGACAGAGTAGAACTGCCCCATAAGGTCTCCAAGGCTGTAATCTTTACGGGAGCAGACTGCGACATCTTCCTCCTGTGGAGTGGCTGGTGGGTTCGAACCTCTGACCTTACGTTTAGCAGGCGAATACTTAACCACAGCGCCACCAGGGTTCCTTAACTAAAGGATATGAATGGCCAGTTCATAAGAGTAGAAATACAAATGGCTTCTGAACATTTAAATTATTTTTTAGCAAGCTTTTTGTACTGTTATCAAGAAACAGTAAGATTTAGTAAGTTGAGGTACGGAGGGGACAGATCACTTCAGAGCCCACTGGCCCTGGGGATCTTACTTGGGTGGTGTGCGCTGCGGGCTCAGACCCTCACAGCCTCGGAACCCCACCTCCCATGGGCTTTGTGCTGGCCTCAGCTCTATGGTGGGTGGGCCTCAGCTCTGTGGTGGGTGGGCCCCAACTGGCCGAGGACTCCAGCTCAGGCTCTCTGAGGACACCTTTTTCTTTTCTCCTTCTGCTGAGAGCCCACATAGCTCACTCGTCTAAAATAAAATTCATCATTGTTTTGTTTTTTCGGTGAGACATCAGAACTTGTAGCCACAAATGACTCTCCCACACTGAAGTCTGTCAGTGGGGATGTAGCTGTTTTAAATGGACCGTTACGTTTTCAGAGGCTTTACGTGGGCCTCAGAGAAAACATGGAGCAGGAAGTGCCCCCTGCCTTCAGACCCGCAAACACACGATTCCGTGCCAGAGTGCTGTTTGCTCTTCTTAGTCGAGTACACACGTTACTGGAATTTATTCCCAGCCTTAGCTACTGGGAAGAGCAGGGTGGCCATCAGACGTGTTTGTTTTCACAGCCGTTATTCAGAAATGGGCTGTGGTTTGGGGCTGGAGGACAGAGAGACAGGGCCTGTTCACAGTCCCTGAGACATAGTATTCTTTGCATCACTGCCCTAATGGACAGAACTCCTAATCGGCTGGCTGCTCAGGGTTAAGAAACATGGTTAAAGTTTTGAGTTCCTGGGAAAATATTTATCACAAGTCCAAATCCCTTAATTGAATCTCTGTGCAGTCCACTCTGGTTAAATTCTGTGGCTAAGTCAGTTCACAGTCAGTGGCAAGGCCAACTTTGAAAATAAAGGACAGTACTATATGCTAATATTAAGGAGATCTGGTGGCTCAAGCAGTTAAGCATGTGGCTGCTAACCCAGTGACTTCAAGGGAGAAAGACCAGGTGATCTGCTTCCATAAAGATCACAGCCTAGAAAACCCAGTGGGGCAGTTCTACTCTGTCACATGGGGTTGCTTTGAGTTGGAATCAGTTCAAAGGAAATGGGTATTTTTTTTTATGCTAATATTGGGAATTTAGCAATGTTTCTTGGAAAAAATAGAAAAAAACTAGAAAAACATTGCCTTTTTTCAGATTTTTTTTTAAAAGAGCAGACCACTTTTGTTGGCATTTTTGGTGCTACCTCCCTTTGTATTTCTTCCGGGTCAGGGGTGGGTGGAGGGCTGGAGGGCTGGCTGAGGTTTGGAGTAATGGGGTGAGCTGGGCCGGGTTTGCTGCTGGGTGCTCTGGTGTGTATCAGGTTGTGTGGACCCCCATTCTGATGCTGCGTGGCAGAGGCAGTGATGCAGGCGTCTGTCCCCGAGTGTGAAGGCACCTCTGCGGGGTCTCCCGGTCTTCTTCTTCCTGGAGAGCAGTGTTCACAGCGAGGCAGGCCCCATCAACTGTGTTACCAGGGGATTCTTGGGAAAGGGGATTCTTGGGAAAGGCCGTTTACTGAACAATGGTTCTCAAAGTCCTAGTTGCGACCCTTGAGTGGATTGTGAAATCAGTTTAGTGGGTTGCCACCAGTATTCCTTTTTCTAATAAAATGAAATAGTAGAATTGACTAGATACTATCAGAATGCTTCTCGGATGGGGTGATAAGGGTAACTATTGTTTTGTAAACCTTTATTCAGTTATCTATATTTGAAGTCCACGGTATGCAGGTATATATTGAGTTGTGATGTTCGTTTCTTTCATGCCCTAGAGGCCTTTGCGTACTTTCCACCTCCCTCGAAATGCTAATTGACCCCTGCTTCTGTGTTAGCAACAGGCGCTCTGGTGGTGCAGTGGTTAAGTGCTTGGCTGCTAACCAAAAGGTCGGTAGTTCGAACCCACCAGCCACTCCGCAGGAGAAAGATGTGACAGTCTGCTTCCATAAAGATTACGGCCTTGGAGACCCTATGGGGCAGTTCTACTTTGTCCTGTGGGGTTGCTATCTTAGCGTATGGTGATCAGGCTATTGTGGGTGATCTCTGCCTGGATGCTGTCAACATCGAGCATGATGACAAAAACAAATTCATAATTTTCCTTTTATGTCCTGTGATGCTTCTGTTTTGTGACAGGTACGTCGAGTGTGGCCAGGGCCTGGAGTGCGACATTTGATGAGCTGATAGGGAGACCCATCGGGGAGTTCTCGCGGACACATATGGCCCTGAATGCCCCTGGGGTGCTGGCCGAAAACCCCGACATATTTGCTGTGATTATCATTCTCATTTTAACAGGTAAAGCAGCACACTCAAAAAGATCGGGTTGGAATGATGGGTCAGGGTTATGGAACAGGCTCTGGTGAGGTTTATTCTCCTTTTTCTCCTCCCTCGCCTATTTCTTTCTTTTTTTGTGTGTTTGTAATGAGTGCTCACACCTTCTTTTCGTTGTCCTTGTCTTAATGGCTTTTGAATAGGTTCACATGGGATTGACCTATTTCATAGCTGTTGAGTTATGCATCATTTAATTAAAAGAGAATCTCGGTCCCTGGGTGGTGCAAACGGTTGCCGCGCTCAGCTGCTAACCAAAAGGTTGGAGGTTCGAGTCCACCCAGAGGCACCTCGGAAGAAAGCCCTGCCAGTCTACTTGCGAGAAATCAGCCATTGACAACCCTGTGCAGCACAGTTCTAGTCTGACACACATGGGGTGGTCATGACTCAGAGTCGACTTGATGGCAACTAGTTTTGCGGAATTAAGATTTTGGTAGCAATGCAAGCAGGCTTTTGGTACCGGTGACCCAGGAGTATAAACTCTTGTGATTCAGTAGGTGACCATGTGGGAAGTGAAGTTGTCATGTCTGATGACCTGACAGAGGAATAATGTTCGTCTGGAGCATTGATGTGTGCCTGGGTGTTTAGAGACATGGTTGGTTTCACAACCGTCAGTACGTCCTTTAAGTAAGTAAGTTTCATGTTAAAGTTGTGGTTGCAAAATTTTAAAATTCCAAATGTTGCTTAAACACAGCTGATGGCAACTTTTTTTTTTTAAACAATATTTTATTGTGTTTTCAGTGAGGGTTTACACAGCCGTTTAGCTTCCCATTCAACAGTTACTACACAAGTTGTTCCGTGACGTTGTTTACGTTCTTCACAATGAGGGAACATTCTCGATATTTTCGTTCTGGTTGTTCCATTTCCTTCGATCTAGTTTCCCTGCCCTCCTTACATTCGCATCTTTATTTTAAAGTAATTTTCAATTGTTTGGTCTCATACATATTTTTAAAAGGCGCACAGTACTTACATGTAATGGTGTTTATTTTGTGAGCCAATCTGTTATTTAGCTAAAAGGTGACCTCGGGCTAGTTTCAGTTCAAGGTTTAAAGAGTCTTGGGGGTCCTCTAGTCTCAACTGGTGCAATAAGTCTGGGGGTTTTTTTGTTTGTTTGTTTTCGAATTTGAGGTTCTGTCCCAAATTTTTCTCCCGTTCTGTCAGGCTCCATATATTGTGTCCCTGATCAGAATAGTCGGTAGTGATAGCTGGGCACCATCTAGTTCTTCTGGTCTCATGGTAGATGAGGGTAACTTCTTATTAGTGACACTTACACGTGTCTGCCCACTAAGATGGCAGGTCTTGTTCCACGTGGCATTTGCTATGTGAGCATTGAGCTGAATGCGTATACATTGTCACTTAAGGTTAGAAAATCTTGGATAAGTTTTTAAAACAACATGCCTCATTTTACACACCACATAATTGATATAATTTCACTGAGGCCAGTCTCTGCTGTATTTCTGGTCTGTGGTGGCAGAAACATGGATCATTAAAAAATTTTGCACTTGTGAGATTTTCATTTTAATAAACATGAGAGAGGAAGAACACTGAGGAAAAAATGCATTGAAGAGTATGAGAAGTTCACCCTGTGATTCACCGACCAATTCTCTTCTAACATATGCATTTTATGATTTTTAAATAAATAATTGATTTTATTTGTTTGTTCTTATTGCAGATGCACACAGCAGAACATACACCATAAAGATGTTGCAGATACACACAGCAGAACATACACTATAAATATGTTGCAGATACACACAGCAGAACATACAGCAGTTCAACAATTTCCACATGTACCGTTCAGTGACACTGATTACATTCTTCAAGTTGTGCAACCACTCTCACCCTCCTTTCAGGAATTAACATAAACTCACTGCCCCCTAAGCTTCCTGTCTAACCTTTCGAGTTGCTGTCGTCAGTTTGATCCCGTATAGATAGTTCTTTAAGAGAGCACAGTTCTGAAGGCAGACATTCTATACTGGTTAAGCTAAACTACTGTTTGGTTTTAAGAAGATTTCAGTGGATATTTTTGGTTTAAGGTTTGAAGATTATCTCAGGACAGTAGTGTTGGGCGTTCATCCAGCCTCAATGGCTCAAGAAAGTCTGGAGTCCATAAGAATTTGAACTTCTGTACTGCATTTCCTTCCTTTTGTTCAGGATTATTCTATGGAATCATTGATGAAAACTTTTAGTAATGGTAGCTGGGCACCCAGTTCTGGTTTCATGGCAAAGGAGGCAGTTGTTCATGGAGGCAATTAGCTACACATTTCATTTTCTCCTCTGATTCTTGACTCTTGGGTTTTAGAATTTAATCTCTATGTGCAGCATTTTTTATTTTAAGTTGCAAGAAAGGCTTATATGTTAGAATAAGTAGCCTTACTTGATAAATAGTGGTCAAGTGTTGCCCAGGTACCTTCCTGTGCCCCCTCTACTGCCCAGCAGAGTTTACCTCTGGAAGTCATGGAATGGTGTTTTTACCATAAATTGCCCACACGTGACCGTCCGCAAGTGTCTCTTGTGGCATAAAATTCAAAGGTCGCCCTGTCATTAGGTTTCTGTACGTTTTTATCACTCTTTTTTTTTTTTTAATGTGAGTTTACAAAGAACCAGTTTAGTTTAGACTGTTTTTTACATGCGCTGAGTACAACAAGGATTCCACTGTTATTAAAAAAGCATATGAGTCAGTGGTTCTAAAACCACAGATAGTTGTCATTACTAATATTATGAACATCTCAGCATAAGTCTGAATAATTTCCTTTTCTCCAGCTTGGAGAAAATAAAATCCTATCCAGACTATAGTTTCCCAGTAATGTACTTTTTTTTAATAATTGTGATAAAATACATATAATAAAACATTTGCCATTTGTACCACTTTTATGTGTTCACTTCAGTGACATTAGTTACGTTCATTATGTTGTGCAACCATCATCGCTAGCCGTTTCCAAATTATTTTCATCACACTTAACAGAAACTTAGTGCCCCTTAAGCAATAACTCCCCATTCCCTCCTCCCACTCGCCCCTGGTGACCACTAATAAAACTTTGGTCTCTGTGTATTCGCTTAATCTAGATATTTCGTATAAGTGGTATCATACATTATTTTTCTTTTTGTGACTGACTTCACTCAGCCTAATGCTTTTAGGGTTTATCTATGTTGTGGCATACATCAGAACCACATTTCTCTTTGGACGAATAAGATTCCATTGTATGTATGTACTCCATTTTGTATCCATTCATCTATTGATGGATATTTGGGTTGTTTCCACCTTTTGACTATTGTGAATAGTGCTGCAGTAACACTGATGTGCAAATATCTGAGTCTCTGCTTTTAGGTCTCTTGGGTATATATCTAGGAGTGGAATTTCTGAGACATATGCTAGTTCTATGTTCAACTTTTTGAAGACCAGTCAAACTATTTTCCATGGTGGAAGCACCATTTTACATTCCCTCCAGCAGTGGACCAGGGTCCCAATTTCTCCATAACCTCACGAGCACTTGTTTATTTCTCTTTTCCTGATCATAGCCATCCCAGTGCACGTGAGGTGGTTTTGATCTGTGTTTCCCCCTGGTGGTGCAGTGGTTAAGAGCTTGGCTGCTAACTGAAAGGCTGGCAGTTAGAATCCACCAGCCTCTCTGTGGAAACTCTACAGGAGAGTTCTACTCTGTCCTGTAAGGTCACTATGAGTTGCAGTCAACTCGACGGCAATAGGTTATGGCTAATGACCTTGAGCAACTTTTCACATACTTATTGTCCATTTGTGTATCGAGTCCCTTACCCATTTTTTGATTCGGTTGTTTTTTGTTTTTACTGTTGTTGAGCTTTAGGAGTTCTTTGTATACTCGATATATTAAACCCTTATTAGCTATGTGGTTCCCCAATATTTTCTCCTATTCTATAGGTTGTCTCTTCACTTTTTTTTATAAGGTCCTTTGATACACGAAGTTCTTCATTTTAATGGCGCCCATTTTATCTAGTTTTCCTTCTGTTCGTGTTTTCGGTGTCATTATTCTAATAATCCATTTGTCAAAAACTAGGTCCCAAAGCATTGCCTCTATGTTCTGTTCTAAGAGTTTTATGGCTTTAGTTCTTACATTTAGGTCATTGATCCATTTTGAGTTCATTTTCATATGTGGTGTGAGGTAGGGGTCTAGCTTCATTCTTTTGCATGTACTTTTAATGAGAGAGGGAGAGCGTGTGTGCACGCACGCTGATAGAGGCTTTCTTTTCACCTTCTTGAGGAACTTAATTTCTATGGAGAGTTGACTGTGACGGTCCTCATCTCTGTAGTCTGTGGTGCCCCTTGGGTGGCATCCTCAATTCCAGAGGGATTCTGGAAGGCCAGATTAGATAGTTTTGTCTGACACCCCACAGACCTGGGTTAGTTTGCTCCTGCGTTTAGGAAAATAGTTACCTCAACTGCATTCCCAGAACTTCACAGAGGTCTTCAATGGTTTGATGCCAGTTGAATTCTTTTAGGTAACCCTCTCATCCTCATCCCCACCCTCTCCCCTAGTCCTAAGAAGATGTTACCTGGTGCACAGTTAACACTGTCAAAGTTTTCTCCTTGTGCATTTTTCCAGGACTTTTAACATTTGGTGTGAAAGAGTCAGCCATGGTCAACAAAATATTCACATGTGTCAATGTACTGGTCCTGGGCTTCATAATGGTGTCGGGATTCGTGAAGGGATCAATCAAAAACTGGCAGCTGTCGGAGGAGGATTTCCAGAATGCATCTGGTCATCTCTGTTTGAACAAGTAAGTTGTTTTTTCTGTCTCTTGGCATGTGACCATCCATTCATGTTTGGGATTTAAAGCACACATGCATTTGGGGATGTAATGGGCTGGACCATCATATGCCTTTTTAGAAATATAATTTTAATTTGTTTTATTATGATTATTTTTGCAGTGAAGAAGCTCAGACTGTGCCCAGTTGTGGGGGGAAGGGGTGGCGGGTTATGTTTAGAATTTGTGTTAATGTATATTTCCTTGAACTGGACAGAATATTGGATGACAGTGACAAAGAAGTTAAGTAAAACAAAATCCTCATCCAGTTCCAGTATGGTATGTAGTTCAGGATCTTTGTCAGACACTGAGTAATCCCTTGTTCCTTACAGACTGTTGCGTTAGAAACCTCTGGAGTTTTGTCTTCAGCAAAAGATTTCTCTGCCATACCATGGTGATACCACATTATTTTTTTTCCTAATTTTTTAAATGCATTTTTTAATTATAAAATAAATTCATATATTATCCTATCAGATAAACTAAAGTCCCCTTTACAAATCACTCACATCCCCATTATTATCTGCATGGTCAGTTATGGTTGTTAAATACCTCGGAGTGGAATGGCTGGATTATACAGTAGGTGTATGTTTAATGAACTGCCCTGGTGTCGCAGTGGTTAAGTAAGCACTTGGCTGCTAACCGAAAGGTCGGCGATTTGAACCTGCCAGCCGCCCCTCGGGAGAAAGATGTGCAGTATGCTTCTGTAAAGATTACAGCCTTGGAAACCCTGTGGGGGCAGTTCTGCTGTGTTCTAGAGGGTCGCTAGGAGTTGGAATTGACTCAATGGCAACGGGTACTTCGAAGGAGCCCTGGAGTCTGTGTTTAACTTTTTTTTTTTTCAGTTTTATTTATTTTGTTGTTGTTGTTGAGAATATACACAGCAGACATACAGCAGTTCAACAATCTCTGCGTATACAGTTCAATAGCATTGATTATAATCTTCGAGTTGTACAACCATTCTCACCCTCCTTTTCTGAGTTGTTCCTACCCCATTAACATAAATTCATTGCTCCCTAAGGCTCCTATGTAATCATTTGAGTTGCTGTTGTCAGTTTGGTCCCATATAGATAGTTCTTAAAAAAGCATAGTGCTCAAGGCAGACATTCTTTACTAGGTAAGCCAAGCTATTGTTTGGTTTTAAGAAGACCTTGAGGATATTTTTGGTTTGAGGTTTAAAGATTACTTCAGGGCAATAATTTCAGGGGTTTATCCTACCTTCAAGTCTGGAGTTTATGAAAGTGTTAAATTCTGTTCTGCATTTTCCCCCTCTTGATCAGGAGTCTTTTATAGAATCTTTGATCAAAATGTTCAGTAATGGTAGCCGGGCACCATCCAATTCTTCTGGTTTCATTAAAAGGAGGTGGTTGTTCATGGAGGCTGTTAGTTACACATTCCATATCCTCCTCCTGTTCCTGACTCTGTTGTTCCTCTGTTTCTTCCTCTGTTGTTCCAAGCAAATAGAGACTAATTGTTGTGCCTCAGAAGGCCACTTGCAAGTTTTTAAGACCTCAGGCACTATGCAATGAACTAGGAGGTAGAAGAGAGGCACTAAACATGTTATTAGACCAGTTAACTGGGATGTCTCATGAAAACATGACTCGAAGCCTCCATACTAGGAAACCAAATCCCATGAGGGTTTTGGTTGTACACAAGCAGCTTTAGCAGCTACTCTAATTTTTTGTCGTTGTTGTTGTAAATGTACCTATCACACAGCTTTTGCAAATTCTACTTTTTATAGGTGTATAATTTATTGACAGCAATTATAATAATTGGCTGTGCCACCCTACCCTTAATCAGCGTAATATTTCCATCACCGTTAATCCTCTTCCCCCACCCTCCCATCCTTGGTAACCACTAATAAACTTTGGTCTCTATACATTTGCCTTTCTTGTTTTTTTATATAGTAAGGTCATACAATATTTGTCCTTTTGTGATTGGCTTATTTCACTCAGCATACTGTCTTCCAGCTCCATCCATACTGTAGCATGCATCAAGACTTCATTTCTCCTACTTGCCGAGTAGTGTTCCATTGTATGTATGTACCATATTTTGTTTGTCCATTCATCTGTTGATGGGCATTTGGGTTGTTTCCACCTTTTGACTGTTGTAAACAGTGCTGCATTGAACACTGGTGTATGTTTCACTTTTTATGGTACATGTAACTTTTTATTTATAATACTGCCAACCTCTTCTCTAGCGCGGCACTGCCAATTTGCATTCCTACCGGCAATGTATGGGAGCTCTAGTTCCTCCGTATCCTTGATAACATTTGGTACCACATTATCTTTAAATGCCTTCCTATTACATTAATAATGTGAAAGGGAAGAAAGACATGAGCCTTTTGTCAGAGTCTTTTCCCCGAGGTTTTCAGAATTACTGAAGTATCAAAATGTGATTATAATAATCTCTTTCTCCCAAACACGCAGACGGCCTCCTCACCCTTGCGTCTGCCTGAAGCAGGAAGCCCAGAGTTGGTGGTGGGAGTGTGTGGCGTGTGGCCCTGTGCTTTCTCAGACCCAGGGGTGCTTCTCAGCCCACACTCACTCACAAGCTCTGAGCATCTAGCGACGATAACACGTCTTTTTATATGCTTTTAGTCAGATTTCCAGGTGAGTCTTAGGATCCCTGGATGGAGAATAGGTAGTTTTATTTTTCTATGATTCTGTTTTAATTAAGGCTACTTGATTACTCATTAGGTGGCACAGTGGTTAAGAGCTTGGCTGCTAACCAAAAGGTCAGCAGTTCGAATCCAGCAGCCACTCCTTGGAAACCCTATGGAGCCGGTCTACTCTGTCCTATAGGGTTGCTATGAGTTGGAATGGATTCGACAGCAACGAGTTTTTTTTTTTGGGGGGTGGTCCCATGACTGATAACCCACTCAGTGTCTCTGCGGGAGAAAAATCTGGCAATCTGCTCCTGTAATGATTACAGCCACGAAAACTTATGGGGCAGTTCCACTCTGTCACATGGGGTCACTTGAGTCAAAATCGAGTTGATGGCACCTACTAACAATGACTGATGACTACTTAAGGCCAGTAGACGGACCCTCCTAAAATGCAGGGCTTTACAGTGGCGTCTCAGAGCCTGTAGGAAGCGGTGCGGGCCGGCCAGCTCTGCTGCACACATCCTGCTACTGTTTTACCCTGAGGACCTTGTCCTCATCTTCACCTTCCCCTTTACCAGCTATGTCAGTGTCAACCCTGCGTGTGTCAGAGCAGAACTGAGCTCCAGAGGGTTTCTAGTGGCTGAGTTTCAGAAGCAGATCACCAGGACTTTCTTCCAAGGCGCTTCTGGGTGGACTCGAACTTCCAGCGTTCGGCTAGTAGCCGAGTGTGTTAACCATTTGCACCACCCAGGGACTCGTTGTCCTCATCTGCTTGGGCACAAGCATGATCCAGCTCTCCCAGAAAGGAAAGATTAGTGGGGAGCGTATGACCAGTGTGGTCAGCTCAGATCCAGCAGACACAGCCCTGCTGCTCAAAGTTGATGGGTGAGAGAGTCCAGTCAGACGGCTGCGTCCAGCTGCAGGGGAGGCTGAGGAGTGCTGTCCCACCCTGAGGCTCCTAGCGGGCCATATACACCAAGTTAGTTACTGGCAGAAGTCCCTGGCTGGTGCTGAGGGTCAACAAATAAAAATAGTCTTCCTTTTGGGGTCCAAACTTTCTCACAGAGAAATGAAGACCCAGGCATTCCTAAGTAATATTTATACCAACTTTATTTGTGCCTGTTCATTCGGGGTGGAGTGAAGCCAGTTCAGAATGTGCTTTGAAGTAACATGGCAGACTCGGAGAACTTTCAGAGCGTGTCTTACTAGTTGGCATTTCCAGGTGAGGAATTAAATATAAAGGGCACCTCTTGTTTCCTGGTTGCCAATCGATACTTCATTTTGTTATTTGTATGAAGAGGTGGTTTGTGCCAGCCGATGGTATTTCATTTCACTGGTCATCCTCACGCTTGATGTCCTCCTGATGATGGGCCATGCTGACCGCTGAAACAAGGCAGCCTCTGTCTCCCCAGCCCCTTGTCCAGTCACACCTGACGGCCAGTGCCGCCAGGGCCCCGGCCCCCACGGGCCAACATTGTCTGGTGGCTGCAGGGTCAGTCCCTCTGAGAGGTAGCTTTCCGTGGTGCTGTTTCATAGCTTGCTCTTCTGTTTTATCAGAACCTGGAAGCTTCTATTATTTTTTCCCCCAGCTCTAGATTTGGGTTTCTTGCAGCAGCCATGCAGACTTAAATGGAATCACATGTCCCTCTGACATTGTAAGGCATTTCCCAGTCAGACCAACTGGGTTCGTTATGTTCTGAATAGTTAAGGAGCCATGTTTCTTTGGGACTCCTGGGGCTTTAAAAAACTGTGTTTGTTTTACTTTGCATTTGTTTATTCAGAAAACATTTGTTGAGCCCTGTCTGTGTGCCCGAAGCCTGGCTGGGTGCCAGGCCCCCCACCCAGCCAGGAGGAGGTTGGGCAAACTTCTGGCCCCCAGGACTGTTTACCTTTTGCATATGGGTGCTTACGAAATGCTTTTGTTGACTAAAACCTTTTTCTGTTCTTTAACCTGAGTTTCTCTGGAAATATTTGTTTTCAAATGGGAGTTGCTGATAAATACTGGAGGATGGTTTTGCATGTTGTCCCTGGGCAGGGGGACAGTGCACCTGGGTGACAGCAAAGTGTGCTTCCAAAGCCCATGGTCTTTCGCTGGGGGTCCTGGGAGAGAAGCAGGAGGGGCGGCCGCATTCGTGGGCTATTTCCTACTGGACCTCCCGGCTCTTGGTCCCTGCTTCTCCCCTACAAGAGTTTATATATATGTGTGTGTGTGTGTGTGTGTGTGTAAAGTCTAGCTATATTAAAAATGTGTATGCATATTTATATATTTTAATAATATTGTGTTTTGGGGGAAGGTTTACTCAGCAGTTTAGGTTCCCATTCAACAATTTCTACACAAGTTATTCAGTGACATTGGTTACATTCTTCACAATGCGTGAACATTCTCATTATTTCCATTCTGGTTGTTTCATTTCCAAAGTCAATATTTATACAGTTCTTCTGGAAAGGGAGGGAGGAGCCCTGGGGCGCAGCGGTTAAGCGCTTGCCTGCTAACTGAAAGGTGAGCAATTCAGACCCGCTAGCTGCTCCTTGGGAGAAAGATGTGGCAGTCTGCTTCCGCAAAGATTACAGCCTCGGAAACCCTGTTGGGCAGTTCTACTGTCTCTTACAGGGTCGCTCTGAGTTGGAATTGACTCAGTGGTAATGGGTTTGGTTTGGTTTTGATTTTCTGGAAGGGGCTTAGTGCGTCCCATCGCGGCGCTGGGCCCCATAAAAGAGAGCGCCTTGTGGCCCAGTGAGCCTGAATACAGTGGCTGGTGAGCAGTGACTCGGGTCACTTCCTCAGGGTCCTGAGCCCGGGGACCTGGCAGTGATGGTCAGCTGGGTGGGTAACTGTTTGCTGTTGCCGCTCTGCAGGAGTTTTGTTCCCGAAAACCAAGCTGAGCTGTGTGTGCTGTGTCTTTGATTGTGGCTGTTTTTTTTCTAGTGGCACAAAAGAAGGGAAGCCTGGCGCTGGGGGGTTCATGCCCTTCGGATTCTCGGGCGTGCTCTCAGGGGCAGCGACGTGCTTCTATGCCTTTGTGGGCTTTGACTGCATCGCCACCACAGGTACGCCTGCCCGCCCGCACCCCTGCCCAGTTTGCACTGTGGTGCCCCTCCCCCGCCCCCTGTGTCCCGGATGGTCCTGCTCTCCTCTCAGACGGGCCAGGCCTCAGTTTACCCAGGGTCACTGTTTTTCTTTCTGTTGGCATTTATCAGTTGCCCCCTTTCACCCACGAATAATAAGCAGATTCATAGCTGCCTGCTCATCTTTTTCCCCTTCATCACCTGCCCAGGTGGCAGGGCCTGAGAGGAGAATCGGCTCATTAGCGGACTAATCATTCTGCCGACTAATGGGGTCGTTGTAGCCATTCCGTGGCCTGGTCTCGTGGCTCTGCATCACCTGTGAGGGAGGAGGACACTGGTGATACCGTCCCTGTGGCTGAGTGGGCAGGCTGGGCTCATGGAGCCCCCACTGCTTTCCTTGGCTGAGCAGCCATGTCAAGGCAGAGAGCACCATGGGGGGCTTAGTTACCTGGTCTTTGTTCCTGAGAGTCACCCCCGAGCTCCTGAAAGCCCAGGAGGCCCTGACTCCTGCATATGACAGGCTCTGTGGGACATTCCTCAGGGTGGGCTTGGGTTCCTTTGGCATGAGTGGCGTAGGGGCCACGTGGGTTCTGTGGAGGCCTGTTGTGTGGCCCCTCCTCGGGACCTATGTCTTGTTGCCTTCAGGTGAAGAAGTGAAGAACCCCCAGAAGGCCATCCCAGTGGGCATTGTGGCCTCACTTCTTATCTGCTTCATTGCCTACTTCGGGGTATCCGCCGCCCTCACGCTCATGATGCCCTACTTCTGCCTGGACAAGGACAGCCCCCTGCCGGACGCCTTCAAACATGTGGGCTGGGAAGGGGCCAAGTACGCCGTGGCCGTCGGGTCCCTCTGTGCTCTGTCGACCAGGTGAGAGACCGTTTCTTGTGCCGGCTCCTCACCGTGTTCAAAACCACCAGGAACAGTACAGCTGTAACCAAACCCAATGCAACCCGTTACCATCGAGTCAGTTCCGACTCCTAGTGGCCCTGTAATGGGTCGCTAAAGCTGGACACGCAAGTTAGCTGCGAATACCTTTCTTTTCCCTTGAACTAGAATCCAGTGTCCCGGCCCTGATTATGAAGTGGTTTCTTCCCTGTTGTTGCTATCAATCATCAGTAGAGTTGCTAATGTTACTGATATTTCAGTCATGAAGAACCTGAGACCCGCTTTCCAACATTGCCCATTTAGCAAGGGAATGGCTGTTGGGCCAAGCTGCCCCTTTGAAGGCCACAATTTGACCCTTAATTTGGCTGCACAGCAGGGGCTACTTTGAAAAAAGGAGTAAGTACCTGTTAAAACGAGAAACATTTTGCCCCCGATATTTCCTATCAGCCTGTATAAACAGGAATTTTTGACTAAATATTGAATTACCACAGAGAAATTCCCATGAATGCACTGATGCCCTTATTTTCTGTTGGGATTCAGCTAGAAATACTTGCAAGAATAATACACAGTTTCCCTTCCATGGAAATCTAATGGCAGTTTATGTTAGATTTTTTCCCACTCTTGAGCGTGAGCATCTGCTTTCTCCACGCTTGATTTATTGAATTCCAGGTCTTTCAGCTGTGAGTTTCACACATTTTAGAGGGACGGCAGTTCCTTGTGAGAATTTCAGGGGTCCGTCCTCAGAGATAAACTGCACAGTTGCGTTATTTCTGATAAGTTAGTTTTACTGATGCATTCTGCCTTCCCCCTGTCCTCCCCATCCAGTCTTTTAGGCTCCATGTTTCCCATGCCTCGCGTCATTTATGCCATGGCTGAAGATGGACTACTGTTTAAATTTTTGGCCAAAATCAATGAGCGAACCAAAACACCAATAATCGCCACGTTAACCTCAGGTGCCATTGCTGGTAAGAACTGGAACGAATTTCACATGCCAGTGTTTTAAGAGTCGAGTCTGGCCTGTAAGAAATATTAACTGTTTTCTTTTTTAATGTTTGGTCTTTACACTTGGAACCCGGTCCGTTGAAAGGTAGCTGCAATTTTGACAAAAGGCCAAGGCCGGTTTCACAGAGGATGCTATGGAACTCTCCCGGTGTTTGAACTCTTCATCTCCCTCTCATTGACAGAGCTCAGAACACACACCCATCCCCTTCAAGGCCATCTATCTTTGCCCTTTTCTGAACGAGTCCCCGAGTCGATTTTGGCAGGGTGACATCTTGCATAAACTAAGTGGGACTTTTTGTTAGTACCTGGACAGTCAGTGTCCATGTATCTCAGCTTGTGAAGTCTGGAAAATGAGTGTCCCTTACAATCAGTGTCTGATAAAATGTGCCGTCTATTCCGTGGGGGATGGTCTTAGTCATCTAGTGCTGCTATAACAGAAATACTACAAGTGGATGGATTTAAAAAAGAGAAATTTATTCTCTCACAGTCTAGTTGGCAACAAGTCCAAATTCAGGGCGTCAGCTCCAGGGGAAGGCTTTCTGTGTCAGCTCTGGAGGAGGGTCCATGTTATCAGTCTTTCCTTGGTCTGGGAGCTTCTCTGTACAGGAACCAAAGGTCCAAAGGACGCGCTCTGCTCCTGGCACTACTTTCTTGGTGGTATGAGGTTCCCACGCTCTATGTTTGCTTCTGTCTTTTATATCTCGAAAGAGATTGGCTCAAGACACTATCTAATCTTGTAGATCTCATCAATATAACCGCCGCTAATCCATCTTATTATATCACAGTGATAGGATTTACAACACATAGGGAAGTCACATCAGACTATAAAATGGTAGACAATCATACAGTACTGGGAATCATGACCTAGCCAAGTTGACAGATATTTTGAGGGGACACAATTCAGTCCATGACAGGGATATTGAGGGTGTTGCTGTTGAAACCATTTTTGCCCCTAAGATTATAAGTACTGCAGCCCAGAGGAGTTTTATCTTATTATGAAATACCACATTAGTAAATAAAAATAAATTTGATAGATGAAAAAGCGGACTACTAAAAACCACCTGAGCTGTTCGTTGTCCCCATGGGGCCCCCGGTGATGAGAAGAGAAAGCCTGAAAGGAAACTTACTTGCACACGCACGATATGCCCTCATCACATTCTGTAGCTCCAGGAGGCAGCTGTTATCCCCACTGTACAGACGCGGAGTAGAGGCTGGGAGAAGTGAAGTTAGGACATGCCCCTCGTAAGTGGTAGAGCCGGCCATTGGTTCCTGGTCTGTTTATAATGCCGAGGCGGCCGTGCTCTTCCCAGGGTCTTCCGGAGCAGTGGTTCTTTTGGTAGGTTAGGAAATGCAGCATTAGTCACACTTCGCACCTGCAATGACTGGTGGAGTGTCCATTGGTAAGACATTTGACGGTCTTAAATGAGTGAGTTGTTTACTGAATTTTACTGGTACTTATGCCCTTGACAAAGTGTGCTTAGTTTCATAAATTAGCAGTATGTAATGAAAGAAAACTAGCTTTTCATACATTCAACAAATTTAGAATAAGGAACCTTGGTGGCGCAAATGGTGAAGCACTCGGCTGCTAACTGAAAGATTGGTAGTTCAAACCCACCCAGCGGCTCTCCAGGAGAAAGACCTGGCGATCTGCTTCTCTAAAGATTACAGCCTAGAAGACCCTATGGGGCAGTTCTACTCTGTCACATGGGGTCGCTATGAGTCGAAATTGACTTGACAGCACCCAACAACAACATTGTGTAGAATACTCTTGATAGTGATAACAGCGGTCAGATTGAGGGATGCTGTATCTGTTAGAAGATGTCCGATGTATTTAAAGGATTAAAGAATTGGAGAGCATCATTTTTGGCAGTGAATGTGTGTTTTGATCATATTAAAGATGGCCTCTATTTCCTTCCTGTGCTGATAAAGGCAACTCAAACTATAACCTCTAAAGGGATAATAATGTTCATGCCATTCACCAAGCCAAGGATTTGCTCTTTCTTTTCACTCAGCAAGAGTGGTAAATACTTTTGTAGGGGAAAAACATCATAAAGTTTAGTGAAGCAAAAAGGAAGTTTTATTCGGCATATATTCAAAAGGGCAGAAATGGGAATCGGACAAGCGTGCTGCTAGAGCCATGTCTGCCCGAGTCCAAAGAATATTACAAAATAGGCAAGAATGGGAAAACGGACAAGCATGCTGCCACAGCCATGTCTGCCCGAGTCCAAAGAACAGTTACAGAGCCAGCAGTATATATTAACATTACAAATGGGCAAAACCATTGAAAGCTTCATCTTTTCACGGATTGGCTAGAAATTGTGATCCTCCATTTTGAATCGTCTTTCTTAACAACCATTGGCGCAGGTTTCAGTAATGACAGTCAGGAGGGTCTTCGTTGGTCCAAGAAATTTCTGTTTACTAATTGCTAATAGAAAAAAACAAGAGCGAAAAGTCTTTTGTGTTCTGTTTGATTGGCTTTATATGAAAGTTTCTGTGAAAGGTGTTTTCCAAGATTATTTTAGCTATTGTCTTTACACCTCAGGGCCCAGTTGATGTGTCCTTGTGAGTCCTTGTGAGCCCAGCTCTAGCTGGGTCACATTCTCTATGCTCCAGGAGAGGGAATAATAACTCCAATATTATTTCCTAAATCAGTACATATTTGGTTTTGTAAGATCACCTCACGTGGAAGAAATAACGTTGCCAGTTTGTCCATGAGTAGGAATATAGGCATTTGTGGCAGCATAGTTGAACACTGTTCTGATTATCCAGAAGGCCCTCACTAATTTTCAATCCTATTATTTATCCTCGATTTAAACTTGTTTTTGTTGTCATGGTCTAGAGGGCCTTGAGAGGTATTTGTGGAAAAGTAATAGTTTTGTGTTTATGTTTTTAATTTGTGTTGATTGAAAAAAATCCCAGAGTAGCTCTACCCAAGTTGTTTTTTAAAATGGGAAATTGACACACACGTACGCATAAATAAATACATACGCTCACACAAATGACAAAAGATTGTTGAATAAGCATGCGTGTTTTATTCTTTTTTAAGTAGAGTGTGGGGCATGGCTAAGGGGCTGACACTCTTCTGCAACAGCTCTGCTTTCCATGCTTATCTGTGTGTGTTAGGAGTCCCTGTGAGTCCTCCTGGGGTACATCCTCTACCTCATTGTCTCTGTCACCTACTGATTCACGTGTCTCAGGGAGGCCAGGGACTATGTCTGCCCTACACCTAACACCTAATGACTGGTGATCTTAGTCAGTGCCCAGGACTGGATAGATGTGGATGGATGGATGGATGGATGGATGGATGGAGGGAGGGATGGATGGATGGATGGATGGATGGATGGAAGGAAGATGATAGATGGATATAGATGAGTGGATGGATGATGATGGATGGATGGATGGGACATGATGGATGAATGTTGATGGATAGGTAAAAGATGATGGATGGATGGATGGGTGGATGGATGGAAGATGATAGGTAGATGTAGATGGAGGGAAGGTGATGGCTGGATATAGATTGATGGATAGGTGGATGGATGGAAGTTGACGGTGGATATAGATGGATGGATGGATGGGGAAAAGATGAATGGGTGGGTGGATGAATGGAAGACAATGGGTGGATGTAGATGGATGGAAGGTGATGGGTGGATGCATGGATGGATGGACAGATGGACAGACGGACGGATGGATGGATGGAAGATGATGGGTGGGTGTGGACGGGTGGATGGATGGATGCACATGACTGTCTATAAGTTAGTGTGGTGTAGAGGAAGACACATTGGACCTGGAGTCACAAGAATGGAGTTCAGATCCTGCCTCTTCCACTAAACTAGCTGTGACCTTGAATATTCAAGTCTCCTAACCTGTCTGAACTAGTTTCTCCATCTGTAGTGCAGGGATGACTCAAAAGTTATCGTGAAGATCAAAAAAGGTTATGTTGATGAAAGTGTTTAATCTGTTGAGGACTGTGCATGTGATGTAACCAGCCCTCCTCAAATGCCCTGGATCACTGGTGGGGGGTGTTTCTGGTTGTCAGCTGTGCAGAAGGCCGTCCACAGATCCTGATGTCTGTCTCTTCTCCAGCTGGGATGGCCTTCCTATTTGACCTGAAGGACTTGGTGGACCTCATGTCCATTGGAACTCTCCTGGCTTACTCTTTGGTGGCTGCCTGTGTGCTGGTCTTACGGTATGTATGGATTTTCAGGGTTCCATGACAGAACTGCAGACAGCCCTGGCCCTCTCCTACATGGAAGCTAGTGCTTTAACTGTTCAGATTAATAATTTATAAGGTGTGACTTTGAGGTCAGTGATAGAGCCATTGGGAACTGCTTGAGGAGAGGGTGGAGTCTGGCGGTTGACAGCCCCACCTCCCTTCACCAAGTGCCCTCATTTTTCTGGCTGGATGTTGGGAGAACGTTGGGAAACAGGCTCTCAGCCCATCTTTTGGGCCTGGATTTTGGAGTCAGGGTTTTCTGCAACGGTTAAGTGCTCGACTGCTAACCAGAAGGTCAGTGGCTTGACCCTACCCAGAGGCTCCGTGGAAGAAAGACCTGGCAATCTGTTCCCATGAAGATTACAGCCTAGGAAACCCTATGGGGCAGTTCTTCTCTGTCACACGGGGTCGCTATGAATCAGAATTAACTTGATGGCACCCAACAACAATGACAAGAGTAGTGATTGCAACTTGATCCAGGTTCCTGGGAGACAGGAGGTGGGGACTGGCCCTGGGGGAATTTGGGGAGAATCCAAGGCCTGTGCTGCTTCTTTGGCTTCAGCTCACTGTGGCTGGAGGAGTGAGGCCCATTGTGTGGCGGGGAGGGCTGAGGCAGACACTCACGCTTTCCATCCCATTCTTAGTAACGTCGAGCTCTTGCCTCATGAGATAACCAGTTCAGGCAAGAGGCTGTTAAGATGAAGAGTATCGAAAAGAGTATCATATCATATTGCACCTATGTAGTGCAAATGGTTGACATGCTAAGCTGCTGACCGAAAGTTTAGAGGTTCAAGTCCACCCAGAGATGCCTTGGACAGCCATAGTAAAGTGGCTCTGGGGCTAGGCTTGGGGCCCTGGTTTTCTCATCTGCCCCCGTGCCCTTTCCCAAAGCACATGCCTGGGTCCCAGTGTCCCCTCATCCCTGGAGGCCAGGGCTGTGACTGCACAGTGGTTAAAACTCTTAGCTGCTCACTGAAAGGTCGGCAGTTTGAACCTACCAGCCGCTCCGTGGGCGACATGTGGCAGTCAGCTTCTGTAAAGATTACAGCCTAGGGGCAGTTCTACTTTCTCCTGTAGGGTCGCTGTGAGTCGGAATCAACACGACAGCAGTAAGTTTGATCCACCCCCACTTTGGTTTTTACTCCTTTTCAGGGGCTCAAAGCTAAAATCTGTGAGTTTCTTTCACCTTCTGTATTGAATGAGTGGTGGTGTGTTGCACAGGGGGATCAGTGCAAGAATCGTTAAGTATCTCGATGCTCACTCTTAGAAGCGATTACCTGCAAAAGAATTCATAACGTGCTGTTTCTCAAAGCTGGCGGGATAGATTTGAGCTCTGCTCGTTTTGGGCAGGGAGATAAGGAGCCTTATTTCAAATGAATGCTTTCCTTGCAGGTGGCTTGTGTCTCGGAAATCACGGCCGCAGGCTAGGACCTGCACTCAGCTCGGTAGCATTATTTACTCCAAGGCACTTGGAGTTTTAAAATAAATTGATCCAATTAAGTCATGCAAATAGAATTCTCAAATCCATCAGCCTGCAGACAGATTTCTCTGGCTCTCTGCACCAAATAGAATCCTGTGTTATTGCTTTCTATTTCTGTCCTTAGTTTTAGCTCCCCACAGCCGTAGTTCTGTTGGAGGTGGCCTACTGTTGTAAGCAGTTGAGGGCTAGTGCTACTTCACAAAGCAATAGAAAAAGTCTTAGGACATTTTGGGGGCCAGTTAAGAGTGGAGGTCATGTTCCCCTAAAGCGGAGATTCCAGGGAGTGCTTTAGCAGAGGCAGAAGGCGAGAACCCACGTCTTTCCTCCGTCTCTGTCTCTCAGCTTTGCCAGGAATCCGCCATTTCTGATCAGCTCCCTTCCATTTTATGCCTCGTGTCCGGGGCAACTTTGAAGGCTTCCTAAAATCTCGAGTTGATGTGTTTCCTTGTGCTTAATTAAAGCAGAAGGGGCCCTGGTGGTGCAATGGTTAAGCACTTGACTGCTAACTACAAAGTTGACAGTTGAAATCCACCCAGTGGCTCTGCAGAATTGCTTCCATAAAGATGAAAAACCAAACCCATTGAGTTGATTCTGACTTGTGGTAGGACAGAGTAGAACTGCCCCCATGTGGTTTCCAAGACTGTAATCTTTATAGAAGCAGACTGGTGGGTTCAAACCTCCAACCTTTTGGTTAGCAGCCAAGTGCCATAACCACTGCACCACCAGGGCTCCTGTAAAGATTACAGCTTAGGAAACCCTATGGAGCAGTTCTGCTCTGTTACATAGGGTCGCTATGAGTCAGAATTGACTCGACGGAAGCTAACAAGAATTAAGGCAGATTACGGTGGTCATGTAATACATTTCTTTACAGGTATCAGCCAGAGCAACCGAACTTAGTCTACCAGATGGCCAGAACCACAGACGAATTAGATCAAGTGGATCAGAATGGACTGGTGAGCACCAGTGATTCCCAGATGGGCTTTTTACCAGAAGCGGAGACATTTTCTTTGAAAACCGTACTGTCACCAAGAAACATGGAGCCTTCCAAAGTCTCTGGGCTGATTGTGAACATTTCAGCCAGCCTCATAGGTAAGAGTCTGCCCTTTCCAGTAAGGTGCTTGGGGTCTTGCTTCGGGCATTGCTTGGGCTGTAACAACAGTCTTCCGTCCTCATTGTGTTCGATGCCTACAGAAGTGGAGCCTCCCTCTCCACGCACTTGGGGGGGAAGTGCGCGCATCTCTGGGGATCATGAGACATGGTCGAGTCACGCCTTCTCTCTCTCTGTCTCAGCGATTCTCATCATCGCCTTTTGCCTCGTGGCTGTGCTGGCGAAAGAGGCTCTGGCAGCCAGCGAACTGTGGGCCATCTTCCTGCTGGCGGTGTCTATCCTCCTCTGCTTGGTGGTCACTGTCGTCATCTGGAGGCAGCCTGAGAGCAAGACTAAGCTCTCGTTTAAGGTGAGTGTCTGCTAAGGGCCCGTAGGGAGGGTCTTTGTAAAGCAGCAGGGTCTGGCGTTCCTGCTGGGAGCTGGCCCTGCTGGGGTGTGGCCCGACCTGGATGCCAGAGGGGGAGCACGGGGCAGGGGCGCCAAGGGCACAGACAGCGCCTGTGGAGAAGGAGACCTGGCACTCGAAGAAGGTGACCAGACTCTTATCGGGAAAGCGCACGCCGCTTCCCTTGGCCTCAGGTACTGCAGCGTACCTCCTCCCCAGGAGCTTCTCCTGAAGGCCTGCCCAGGCATCCCGGTGGCTTTGCGTTCTTAAATTAGGTAGTAATACGTCATTACGCTCTCAGTGTGTTGGGGTGTGGGGGTGTGTGTTGAGGTGGCATAGGGTGTGTGTTGGGGAGAGGGGTGTGTGTGTTGGGGAAAGGGGTGTGTGTGTTGGGGAGAGGGGTGTGTGTTGGGGAGCTGGGTGTGTGTGTTGTGAAGTGGGGTGTGTGTTGGGAAGCAGGGTGTATGTGTTGCGGTGCGTGGTGTGTTGGGGAGTAGTGTGTGTGTTGGGGATCAGGGTATGTGTTGGGGAGAGGGGTGTGTGTGTTGGGGAGCGGGGGGTGTGTGTTAGGGTGTGGGGTATGTGTTGGGGAGCGGGGTGTGTGTTGGGGAGTGGGGCGTGTGTTGGGGAGCAAGCTGAGTGCTGGGGAGCAGGGTGTGTGTGTTGGGGAGCAGGGTGTGTGTTGGGGAGTAGGGTGTGTGTTGGCGTGCGTGTTGGGGCACATGGTGTGTATTGGGGATGGGTGTGTGTGTCGGGGTTCTCTGGAGTGGGGATTGCTACTAACCTCCCCTCCCCGCACTCCCCTGGCGGGCCTTGTAAATCTCGTGGTCGTTTTGCTAAAAAGCCCAGCACCATCTCGTGCTCTCCGCTGCTCTGTGACGTGATTGCCGCGTCTCTTTGCAGGTGCCCTTCCTGCCGGTGCTCCCCATCCTGAGCATCTTCGTCAACGTGTATCTCATGATGCAGCTGGACCAAGGCACGTGGGTGCGCTTCGCAGTGTGGATGTTGATAGGTGAGTTGGGTCGGGTGCCTGTGCACCTCTGTGCTCCGGGCCGCCTGCATCTGCTCCCAGCATCCCCTCCTCTCTCCGGTGGCAGGGTCTGCTTGGAGGCCCCTTCCCAAGCCCGTGCTGGTCTGCAGGTTCGAGGTTCGTGCTCCTTGGCCGGATGGCTAATGCCACGGAGCCTGCCCTGATTTCAGACTGCACAGCACAGTACAGACAAGTCAACAGCTTCCTCTAAACAGTAATGACCTCCCAGGAGGTTGTCCTCCTCCCTTGCCATTGAGTGGACTCCGACTCATGGTGACCCCGTGTGTGTCGGAGTAGAACTGTGCTCCATAAGGTTTTCTATAGCTGATTTTTTGGAAGCACTTCACCAGGCCTTTCTTCCGAGGCACCCCTGGGTGGACTTGAACCTCCAACCTTTCTGTTAGCAGCCTAGCGCGATAACCATTTGCACCACCCAGAGGCTGCTGGTGAAGCTGAAGGCGTGATTTGGTGGTGGCTGAGCTCCTCCCTTTCAGTCCCAGCCTGCTGGCCTTCCATCAGCCACTGCCCCCAGACAGGGCCATCCAGGCTGCAGAGACACTGTCCTGTGCGGCCTGCCAGACCCAGAGCCCAGCAGAACTGGCCCTCTTGGGGGCTGACCATGTCAGTCCCTCTCCAGGCTGCTAACATGATGGGCTAGTGAGACGGATGCTAAGGTTTCTTCTGTCCAGTCTCTGAGTCCAGAGCCTGATGCCTCAGGGTTGGCCTTGACCTTTGCCCCTCTGTGTCATTGCCAAGAGCAAGTCACTGAAGGACCGTCTCCCTGCTGCGCCCCTCGGTCCCCAGGGGCAGTGCTGGGAGGGCAGGCGCTGGCCGCAGCCGCAGCACCCCAGGCCTAGACTGCAAGGGCCTTCTCCCCAGGTAGCTCTTGGCCGCCCCCTTGTCTCCAGGCCCAGCAGGGCACACTGCTCTCCAGCCTCTTCCACTGAGCCTGCAGGCGAGGGAGGGGTTCGGCTGGGCAGTGGCCTGGGCCTGGCCTTCTCTGCCACGTTCTCGAATCGGGGGGCCCTCCCGGGTCAGGGTGGAGGATGCCCGAGGCCCCCGGCTCCAGGGCATCGGTCCTTGGCCTCTTGGTTACGCAGTGCTTTCTTGTAAGGCCTGCCTCCCTGTGCAGCCTGTGCTGTCGACGCCGCAGGCGTTACAGGTTTGGGTCTGTGAATTTTCACCTTAGGCAATGTAAGTGCTTTCTGCGTTCTGATGGTCATATGTGCAAAGTTAGGCGGGAGTGGCAGGAGCTGTACGGAGGAACCCGGGAGCCTGTGGTGGAGCTGTAGTCCCGCTGGACTCCACCTGGGCAGGGAATCGGCGCTGTCCTGATCCCTGCCTCTCCCCTTTAGTGCCCTGCTGCCCAGATAAGTGCTGAGTCGGGTAAGCTGAGGGAGGGACCAGGGAGGTCACTAGGCCTCCAGCCTAGCTGATGTCTCTGCTTAGAGATGCCGCACTGACGCGCCTTCTGACAGTGAGCTGTGCAGCTTTGCTGGCCCCATTTGAAGAGGGTCCCTGGGTGGCGCAAACGGTGAAGTGCTCAGCTGCTAACCAAAAGGAGGAGCCTCAGAAGAAAGGCCAGGCATTCTGCTTCTGAAAGGTCACAGTCGTGAAAACCCTACGGAGCACAGTTCTACTCTGACACACAGAGTGCACTCGCTGGCAGCTGGGTTTTGGGTCTGGTGGTTTTTCCGAATACGGAAGGTGAGCCTGTGAGGGCTGTGTGCTGCAGCTCAGGCCAGGCCAGCAGTGGGGAGGTGCCTTCCCTGGGCCCCCAGCCCCGGGCCATCCTCGAATTGGACCCAGCTTCACCTGCTCACGCCTGCTCTCTCTCCTCCTCCTCCCCCCCAGGCTTTGCCATCTACTTCGGCTACGGCCTCCGTCACAGCGAGGAGGCGTCCCTGGCTGCAGGCCAGGCGAGGACTCCCGACGGCAACCTGGAACACTGCAAGTGACGGCACAGCACTCCGGCCCAGGAGGCAGCAGCCATCGGGACCCTGCGGAGGCCTGGGATGTGCCCTTCCTCTCTCTGCCAATGCGACAGGAAACACCCCCTACAGAGAGCCAACCCCCAGCACAGCCCACAGTGCAGTTACTAGAACTACAGCCTCAGCTCACTGCACGTGCTCCCTGCGCAGGCCTGCAAGGCCCCAGTCACTGCCAGGCAGCTCCAGGCCACTCGGCTGTGGCTGCCTTGCCGCGTCTCCTCACCTCCCTCTGCAAAGAGAAGGCCGCTCTGCTCCTCTCCTCTTCTCTCCTCGCCAGCTCACTGCAGAAGGGGGCCACCTCCTCCCAGTGACCTCTCCCCAGGGTCTGATATTGAAAACAAACATGCATACTCCAAACTTCCAATACCCATCTCCCTGCTCAGCCCCAGTCAGCTGGCCTGAGATGCAAGATGGGTTCCCCTCACGGCCGGACTGCCGTGGTTTACTTCACGAAGGCAGATAAGGCCGTCCTTCCTGCTGCTGCTCCTGCTGCATAGTGACTGCCCGACGGGGCTGTTTGAAGGCCTGGTTCTGGGACGGTGACCCCAGCTGTTAGTTCCCCCTTCCCGGAAGGGGCTTTGTTTTGACACTGTGACAGGCCCTGCACGACACCTGGGGCACTGCAGCTGTGTCGGGCGTGGTGGTCAGTCTGGACAGGGGTGGGGCAGCTCTCAGTGGGAGCTCAGTGCTCACTCCACTCGTGTGTGACCCGCAACGCACCTGTGTGTGCACAAGGTGACCTTGTGCTCCATTCTCTAAAGGCCTAGCTGTTCCAGCCGCTCCGGGTTCTCACCGCAGCCGTGTCCTGAGTAACTGGGACAAGAGACTGGATTTGTAAGACTGGCCTCACACTGACAGAGCTTAGAACTTCGTTCTCTGTGGCTCTTTGCCATTCACTAATCTCATCCTCCAGTGCTCGTGGTCAGTCTTTTGAGTCTTGTAAGGTTCTTGAGGCAGGCATTGGCCCGCGCCAAAGTGAGGGCGGCCAGTCCTCCAGGCCCCTGTGGCCCGTGACGCCATCTGCCTGGTGTCATCACGTGGCATTCTCCTATGAGTTGCTGTGAATCACTCCGCCAAATTAAGTCAGGGCTTAACGTAACGTGGACGGTGGCCATATAATTCCCCTGTAACATGGGCGTGCTGTTCAGGGCGTGTGGTCCCGCACGGCGGGTGCCTGGCCTTGTGTTGACAGTCTGGTGGCTTTGTGGTCCACATGCTGCATGCTTATATATGCTGATGAAATGTTGGCTCTGGCGTAACCTTCGCGCTTCACAAGGCCGAGCAGCCACCTGACCAGCTGGGCCTCGGAAGTCGCTCCCTGGGCACTGCACACACACTGCCCTCTGCCCGGCCCTCCTCTCCAAGCACGGGCGGGGCGCACGGTCGAGGACAGACACCATCGCACACACTCCTCATAGATGACCGCTGGCTGAGCCTCAATTCCACATAGAGTTCGATTAAGGAGACAGGGCAGGCCCTTCATGTCGGTCAGCAGTTTGGAAAACGTGGAAAACGTCAATGCTACTTTCCAGGCCGTTTTCCATTTTTCCCCAGCTGACCTTCAACATGAATCTGGTAGAAAAAAGCCTGATAAATTGATGGCACTTTCCTTCCCCCCTCTCTGTGCCCCAGAAGGCTCTTGGAGAGAAATGGCCAACAGACTGAGTGAGCCTTCTGGAAGCCCAGTGGAGGGAGGCGGCAGGACTCCTCTCAGAAGGGGCTGGGGGCAGCCTCCTTCCAGGCACTAAATCCCACTAGTTGAATGTTCCAGAGAGTATCATAAGAGCCCAAAGCTTGGATTTCCAAAGAAAGTATTTAAATTTCTGTAGATTGGTGCTGTAAAATATTTTGATAAATATTAACTTATTTTGTTGGGGTTTCGGTTGTCTGCTGTCTTCCTGGGACCCGTGAGCTCTTTGTTTGCTGTATTTTTCTGTTATCTCTCTACGTGGGCAAAGAGAACCTGAGGGAGGGAGGGTATCCAACAAAGGTGGGAGGGGAGAGAAGATTTTTCTTTTTACTTTAATTCTCTTTGTGCAAGACATCACCCAACAGAATATACGTTTGACAGTTGACATTTGACAAAGGATGTGCTTTCACCTAAAATGTCTCACCCCAGAGTACTGGGACAAGTGTGGGTCTCTTCTCCTTTCTTCACCCCGAAGCCTTAAAGTTGTAGATGGAAGTACCCCCAGGCTCAGTAGGAGTGGAGAGCCCTGCCCCTCCCGCGGAGGCAGGGGCCTCTGCTTTAGAATGGGACACCCAGGGTGAATGGCAGAAGTGGTTCCTGCAGTCGCTGGACTGCTTAGTAAGGGGGTTTTGTACAGTTGCCAGGTGTTTCTCTTCTTGTATATAAAGATAGTGATGTAAGGTATGGTGTTTGGGTTAGGCCTCAAAATTCTAATAGACTTTTCCTTATACGTCCCTCACTCCCCTGAAATATACACATTCACACATTCACACATTCACACACACACACACACACACACACACACACACACACACACGCAGAGGCAGAAAAACCGAAAGTGGCCGAGGGTCCCACCTCTCTCCTCCACCCTCCCCAGCAGGAATGTAACTCAGTTTCGTGGCTTAGCTGCTCCTGTCTTACACAGTCAGAACTTCCTCGCTTGTGGAGACATCCCCTTAGGGAATGCCATGTCTACTTGCGTCTGAGCACCAGCCCCAAAGACCCATGCAGGAAAAACCCATTTGGGTGGGGTGGGCCTCTTTCCTGTCTTGCCATAACTCTTGGCCCTACGTGTTTTCATGACCCGGCAGGGCCCACGCTCATTAAAAACAGACCCCGCACAACACAGGCCCAGGGCATCACTGAAGAGAGATGGGTGGAGGGCATCTCCAGGGACGCAGCCTCAGGGAGGGTGACCTGGGTCTCTGTCTCCCACCCTCCCTTCAGCTGATGCTTTGGGGACATAGGATTTGTTTGGCCACACGAGGGGTGGGGTGCAAGCTCCTCTTTCCTGGGCTGTTTCTGAGAGACAGCTGAATTCACACCATGGCCAGAATTGCTCAGCCTGCCCCCACGTTTCTGCCACGAATCTCCCTTTCCACTGAGCCCTTCATCTCTGCTAGGCCACCAGCTTTCCAGCTGCTGCCAGGCAGGCAGCCCCCTGGCCTCCGTGCTGGCACTGAGCTTTGGCCCCCCTGCCTGTGGCATAGCTGGCTGGGGGCGCCATGCCTCCAGAGTAACCGGTAGGATGTAGTGGGCACCTGGCCACACGGTGGGGCGGGCTTCCTGCCGGCCCCTTTTGTGATCAAGGCCCTGCTGGCAAAACTCCCGTCTGCCTCAGCGGCTCAGCCAGTGTCCACACCAGGGCAAAGGTGACCAGCACTTCATTCAGGGGTGGGGAGATGGTGGTCATATGGGCTCTGCCAGGTTTTCTGCACCGCGATGGGCTTCCCCCTCCACTGCCGCCACCAAGCAGGCCTTCTGAACGGGCTGGTGTGGACAGGCTCCCAGAATGTGGTCCAAGCCCAGCACTGGGTGAAACCCGAGACAAAGCTATGAGCAAAGGACAGGAGGTGGGTCCCTGCAGTAAATGAGGAGAGGTTCCCGCAATGCGGGCATCACTCTGCACCAGGGCTGTCCTTTCTGATTCGAATGTCCTGCTTTGACACAGACACTTGGTTTCTCTTTTTAATAATAGCCAGCCGTTCTGTTGGCACCCAAGAATCATCCATGTCAAGACAGGGTCCCACCACCCAGACGTGTTCTGGGATGAGCCAAGAGACGTGTCTGGGCATGTGTCAGTTCTGAGGGTCTCCCCAAGTCCCCAGAGGGGTGACCACTGAGCACAGGCCATGTGACGTCTGTGTGTAGAACTGTCAGTTAAACTTCAGCTGGACTACACATGTTCTATGTAATTGTCCTGTATAATTTAAAAGGCACCTGTCTGCCATCGTAACGAGAGTGCTGTACGCGAGGCACCATGGGGGCGCCAGATGTACGTTTTTGTCAGATACGTATGCACTTGTTTGGTAATGAAATGCTTTGTTGATCCAGTGGTGCAGGAAACTACACTACAGATTTTGTCATCGTAATTTGGTTGCCTAATGGGTTTTTAAAAAGGTCAGCTGACCTTCTCCTATCTGTCACTATGACCCAAAGTCTTTCTGTGCCCATTGCTTCACTGAGTGCCAGGGCCCTCTTTCAGGAGGGAAAAGGATCAGCTGGGAGCTTCAGAGTGCAGTCGTTACGGAGTCCTCCCGGACCACCCTACACCTGTGTGTGGAACTGTCGGCTACAAAGCTCACGGGAGACCGTGGCCGAGGTTCAAGGGACGCCCAAACCAATTTTCTCAGGGGATTAGCTTGTCCAGCAGGATCAGGAAGCAGGGCGGGGAAGAGGCAGCCAGACTTTGTTAATTTATTAACAGGGTATATGACTTCGTGCTTCTTTGATGACAAACATTTAAGTTTGGGACTTATTTTCCCATCTGAGAAGTTTTATATATATATATATGTATGTATATATATGTATGTATATGTATATATATGTATGTATATGTATATATGTGTGTGTATAGATCTGTAAATCTATACACACACATATACACATATATTTAAAATGAGTTTTCTGCTTACGTTGTGCCTTTCAGTTTCGATGGTTTTGAGGAACACAAAGGGTAAAGGTAACTAATGAGGGTTGGTTTATTATCAAACCTGTAATAGCTGTGGGTTCTCCCATCAATTTTTCTTCTACTGAACATGGAGCCATTATTAAAACAGAGTTGTGTGTTTGTTAGTTTTTTTAATTATGTAAATTGTATAATATTTTTTGCTCATTTGATGTTTTATTTTTCTAATAGTTTCTTATAATTGTGATACTAGATTTAGATTCTGATGCTGAGTGCAAATCAGGTTGGTCTCTGCAGGTCCCTCTTGTTTCCATTTTGTGGTTTAAGGACAAGTTAAGGTATCGTCTGCCGCCTTCAAACCAATGTGAAATGCTCCTCTTGTACCCCTTCACGCTGACAACACTGTACATCGACAACTTCCGGTCGGCCTCGATGTTGTAAAGTCAGACTCTTTTGTGGTACATTATCTCATGCTTCTCCAGATTCTAATAAATTATGTCCGTTGTTTCACCCTGCTTCTCCCGCGTGCACAGTGTAATCTCACGGATTCTAACAGTGCTCAGCTGGGGCCCCGCTTTCTTCTTGGGTGCCGTTGATTCTAACTCATAGTGACCCCATGTGACAGAGTACAACTGCCCTATAGGGTTTCCTAGACTGTAATCTTTTTTTTTTTAATGATATTTTACTGTTTTCGATGAAAGTTTACCCAGTAAATTAGGTTCCCCTTTGAGAATTTCTATGCAAGTTGTTCAGTGACATTGGTTACATTTCTCACAGTGTCAGCACGCTCATTAATTGCATTCTGGTTGGTCCGTTTCCCATGCTCTAGTTTCCCTGCCCCCCTTGTCGTCTTTGCTTTAGCGTAATTGTTGATCTTTTGGATAGACTGTAAGCTTTACAGGAGCAGATCACCGGGGTTTTCTCCCGTGGAGCCGCTGGGTGGGTTCAAACTGCCAACACTGCAGTTAGCGGCTGAGCGCTTAACTGTTGCGCCACCAGGGCAAGAGTTTCAAGTCCTGCACTACTCTTCCTGCTTTTCCACAGCTGGCTTTCCCAGCTTCTCCCCAGCCGGGACCCACAGCGGATTTCTCTGCCTGCCCTGGGTTGAGATGATTGGGTTTAGTGTAGCGCGCAGTTTTTTTCAGCCATTTGGTGCAAATCCTCATTCCAGTGATTTGAGCTTCAACCGGGGAATCCCTGAAGCCCACACCTGGGACCCTCTGATGCTGTCTCGCCACTTCCCGTTCTCACCAGACTTGGTGGAGTTTCTGGCCCCCACGGGTCTTGTTCCCATCAAGGTGCCGGGGAAGGCCTCCTGCCGGGCGTGTGCTGAAGGTCTAGGGAAACCCCCTCAGACCCTTACCGCCTTGGCCTTGCAGTCAGGATAACAGGATGGGTGCAGGGAAGGGGGAGGGGGAGGATTAGCGATCCTAATCATTCTTGATATTGTCCTCCCCCTCCCATGCCCTCTTGAAAAAGGACGCATTCTTCACACAAGAGGCAAATGCAGTCAAGTGGGCCTTAATTCTCAGACGCGAAGCCGCTGCGATTTTCAGTGATGCTGCTGGAAGATCTGCCACCTAGAAGATAAGGTTTCACCGTTGAATTTCCGCAGCTGATGATGGCGCCGGAGGTGGACACCCAGGGAGCTGTAAAGAAGGGCAGGGCGGGGGGCAGCGTGCTCATTATCAGGAATTTATCACAAGAATCTGTACATTCGAGCTCAAAAGATTCCACGTGAACCAACCACAGAGTAAACCGGACCATATAACGTGAGCGACCGGAAGGAATCCCCACCCTGTACCCGGGGCTCGGTGTGTCCAGCGCCACCCGTGGCGTGACTGTCTGTTACAGGGGCTAACACAACTCCCAGGTGCCAGGGGGCTGGGTGGGGGGCAGGGGTGGGGGGCAGGGCCCGGAGTCCACACCTGACCTCCACGCAAAACAGGCATGCTGCCCCAGCGTCCCGGAGCAGGCTCGGTGGGTCCTGGAATTCAGGGATAAAAACGGGGCATTTCTTGTCCCTGGATTCCTGCGTGTGTCTGGTAAGAACCCGACCTCTGGTTCTAATGTGTCCTTGGGCAAGAGGGTTGCACCAGTTTCTTCCTGTGGAAGACCGAGGGCTGGGAGTGAAGGCAGAAACCTGGATTGCTACAGGGCGGCACCGCCACCTAGTGGCTGTGAGTGGTGCTGCGGCCAGGCCAGATGCTGTGCGTTGACACCGACTCGTGTGTGTCAGAGTAGAACTGTGCTCCACAGGGTTTTCAGTGGCTGATTTTTTGGAAGTAGATCGTCAGGCCTTCCTTCCAAGGCACCTCTAGGCGGACTCGAACCGCCAACTTTTTGGTTAGCAGCCAAGCACAGTAATTGTTTACACCATCCAGGAACTGTAGGTAGCCTCCAGATACCCAGAAGGGGTTCCAGCCTGGAGGCCTGAGGGCACGCCACCTTCAGCAAGTTTTCATTCACGTAGTTTGCTTATGAAACACTTCTAGTGAATCAGAAGCTGCCCCCAAGTGGCTTGCCATTCTCAGTAACAAGATTAATGCTATGGAACCACTCACCTGGGCTAGGGCCTTGGGCACTGCCAAAAAACCCCCAAACAAACCAAACCCATTGCAAGTGAGTCAATTCTGACTTATGGCAACCCCACGTGACAGAGTAGTGCTGCTCCATAGGGTGTTCTTGGTGGTAATCTTTACAGAAGCAGATCGACAGGCCTTTCTTCCATAATGCCGCTGGGTGGGTTTGAGTCACCAACCTTTAGATTAGCTGCCAGGGCCCTTCAAACCCATCCTTACAACCCAGCCGTGCTCAACCAGCTGGGGGAGCTGGGAGAGGTGCTAGGCTGCAGCAGGGTGTCTTGGAACCCCAACTATAGC